GATATACCCAGCCATCACAGCTTGCCATAACACCTGTAATTATTCCCATTGACCAACGATTGCGAGGTGAAGGCTCCGCAGTCACTAGTACTAGGTCTCCCACTTGTAAGTTTCGATGTCGTTGAACCCACTACTTTGCACGCGATTGTAAGGTCGTCAAGTACTCCCGCTTCCACCGTCTCCAAAACGTATCGGCAAGGAGTTGCCCTTCTTTCCATCGTCGTGAGTAACGTCCACATAAACTAGCGTCGATTTCAGGAACCTGTTCAGGATTTCTTGATAAGAGAATATGATTTGGTGTCAGCACATCCAACTGACTTCAGTCATCATAAACAGGTACTAGCGGCCTGCTATTTAGTATCCTTTCTACTTCTGTCAAATAGGTCATGAGTGATTCATCTGTGAGGACTTGCTCCTTCGAGACTGCGCTTAACACTCGACGTACGCTTCCGATCAACCTCTCCCATACTCCGCCACGGTGGCTAGCATAAGGTGGATTTAACTTCCATTCTATACCACGATTTGTCATAGCTCTCATCATACAATCACTGTCTAATTGTGGCACAACTTGCTGTGCTGTAACTCACGATCAGCCCCCACAAAGTTTGTACCCCGGTCACTGTATATCTCCCTTGGAGTCCCCCTGCGGTTGGTAAAGCCTGAAAGCATCATTAGGAATGAATCGATAGAAAGAGCGTAAGCTACTTCTAAGTGAACCGCTCGAGTTTTCAAACAAGTGAATATGCATCCATATCTTTTGTCTGTAGTCCGCCCCCGCCTAACGATAAAGGGGCCGAAGTAATCTACCCCGGTGCTAGAGAATGGAAAATCTGACGTGACCCTTGCTATGGGTAATTCTGCCATCACTTGTTCAGTAGGTTTTGCAGACCTGATTCGGCAACCGATGCATTTATTCACCACACGCTTAACTACTGCCGCTCCTTTCAATATCCAATATTTCATACGCAATGCTGACAAAAGATGGGCTACTCCCATATGTCTTTCAGTCTCATGATAACAACGAACAATAACCTCCGTGACAGGATGAGTTCCTGGCAATATAACTGGATGTTTTTCCGAACTTGACAGTTGACTATTATTCAGTCGTCCACCGACACATATCAAGTCACCTAAGATGACAGGATGCAGTTTCTTGATACGTTGAAGGAGTGGCTTGTATTTACTATCCAAATAGCGTTCACACATAACTCCTTTGATTTTACCGAACTCTTGTTTTTGCACGTATCTAAGGATATCTATCTCTGCCTCTTACATCTCACACGTTTGTAAAGGGCCTTGCACTAGACGTTTTAGTAGAAAAACTTTAAACCTTTTTAACCAGGCTACCGCTCTACGAAGTTTTGTCCAAGAAGAGAAATACGAGAATAAGGTGTCTATCGGATTTACGGCTGTTTGTGTCGTTAAGATGGTGGCTTGCTTTAGCTTTATGTCAGATGGAATCATTGGCATGCTTTTTCCATCGAAATTCGGCCAATCCTTTCTAGGATTTTTGAGAAATCCAGGACCATCGAGCCAGGTATGTATACGCTCGTACTCACTCATCTTTATTCCCCTGGAAGCAAGGTCAGCTGGATTCATATTAGTTGGTACATGTCGCCATTGAGGCCGCGTAGTGTGATCAAGTATAAACCCTACTCTGTTAGCTATGTAGGTTTTGAAGCGGGATGTGGTATTGCGGATGTAGCTTAACACAATCATAGAATCTGTCCATAGATAAACATCACTTAGTTCCAACTTTATTTCCTCTAATATGTTTTTTCACAGCTTCACAGTGGTTGTGCATTTGACGGCATTTAGCCACAGACACCTCACATTTTGAGTACTGTGAATTTCTCCCGAAAGAAATCCGAAACGATAATCCAAACTATAGATTTAACCACACGTAGAGTGACGTGTAAAGTCCGAAATACCGGATATTCTGCAATACGGTATTTTATTACATAAAATTAGATATATAATATACAAACCTCAAAATGTGAGGTGTCTGTGGCTAAATGCCGTCAAATGCACAACCACTGTGCAGTCAATAAGTAAAAACAGCAATGCTGTGTCAAGGTCGATCCACGTGTCGGTTCAAACGGCCCGCGAATGCCAAGCAAAGAATAAACAAATATGAACAAACAACTTCCAATAGGAAAGCATACACTGTAGGGCAAGGTCAGCAAATAATGTTTCAGGAGAAGAAAAATAACAACTATATATTAATAGAATGATAATAGAACAAGTAATTTAACTGCAGTTGTAGGCAAATGTCATTGATATAAATTAACATATTAAATCATACTACTTACTAATGGCAAGTAGTATAATGTTGAACAAAGGAAAGATTGAGAATGAACAGGTAGGAAAGGAATTAACACCGTCCCCTCAAAACCAGCCTGGTTTTCCCTACTCTACCTGCTAGTAAGACACAGAAATGGTGCAAATGGTACTCTCGCCACATCTGCATCCACTATCCAGCTATATATCCTACAAAGTGCTCATCTCTCCTCAATACCTCAATATCTAATAGGCAAACCTTACGCACATCTCGGTTGACTATACCCCTCGGTGTCTTGATATCCACTTTTCTGATATACCCAGCCATCACAGCTTGCCGTAACACCTGTAATTATTCCCATTGACCAACGATTGCGAGGTGAAGGCTCCGCAGTCACTAGTACTAGGTCTCCCACTTGTAAGTTTCGATGTCGTTGAACCCACTACTTTGCACGCGATTGTAAGGTCGTCAAGTACTCCCGCTTCCACCGTCTCCAAAACGTATCGGCAAGGAGTTGCCCTTCTTTCCATCGTCGTGAGTAACGTCCACATAAACTAGCGTCGATTTCAGGAACCTGTTCAGGATTTCTTGATAAGAGAATATGATTTGGTGTCAGCACATCCAACTGACTTCAGTCATCATAAACAGGTACTAGCGGCCTGCTATTTAGTATCCTTTCTACTTCTGTCAAATAGGTCATGAGTGATTCATCTGTGAGGACTTGCTCCTTCGAGACTGCGCTTAACACTCGACGTACGCTTCCGATCAACCTCTCCCATACTCCGCCACGGTGGCTAGCATAAGGTGGATTTAACTTCCATTCTATACCACGATTTGTCATAGCTCTCATCATACAATCACTGTCTAATTGTGGCACAACTTGCTGTGCTGTAACTCACGATCAGCCCCCACAAAGTTTGTACCCCGGTCACTGTATATCTCCCTTGGAGTCCCCCTGCGGTTGGTAAAGCCTGAAAGCATCATTAGGAATGAATCGATAGAAAGAGCGTAAGCTACTTCTAAGTGAACCGCTCGAGTTTTCAAACAAGTGAATATGCATCCATATCTTTTGTCTGTAGTCCGCCCCCGCCTAACGATAAAGGGGCCGAAGTAATCTACCCCGGTGCTAGAGAATGGAAAATCTGACGTGACCCTTGCTATGGGTAATTCTGCCATCACTTGTTCAGTAGGTTTTGCAGACCTGATTCGGCAACCGATGCATTTATTCACCACACGCTTAACTACTGCCGCTCCTTTCAATATCCAATATTTCAAAAGTCAACTGTCAACAGAAATTCCATACCACCAATGTGTGATTTAATCGAGAAACGGAACAATCTTCTGTCTACTGAAGATACTATATATAGCAATAGACTGTTGCCGTTTTTCAGCTCAACGCACATGGGGAGACGACGCAACAGTAGACAAATCAAGATGTGTCAGCCAACCCTATACTTCTTATCTACACCTCTCTGTCTATCTCTTTCTCGCGCGCGCTCTCGCTCACTCTGTGTACTTCACAAGAAACAAAGATGAGAGAGAGAGAGACTGATTGTAACGTAGGTGCACAAATGTCTGCAACAGTGTATTCCTTTATTCCTTCAACGACGGTCACGATCACGATCATGATGATGGTGATGATTGATTCCTGTAAATGTAGGAGTATAATCTCAATAGTCTATGCATGATAAGTATAGATGAGTGATGTGTATGCCCACTGACTATATCACAACTCACTCAGTGGGAGGAAAATGTCACCACGACAACATCAGCAGCACATATATCCTCCTCATACATACACTTCAATTAGAAGAAATTGCAACGAAAACAGTCAACAACACTCATCACTCAGACTTTTCCGCCTGTCTGTCTGCCTGCCTGTCACTCTCTCTCTCTCTCTCTCTGTCTATCTGTATCTGTCTCTGTCTGTCTCTCCCTGTCTCTGACTAACTGACTTTCCAACTCACCTCCACTCTGAGTACATTGTGCCAACAATCTTCCTTCCACACACACACACACGGTAAGGCAACTCTCATAAGCGAACCAATTAGTCAGTCAGTGATGAGTACAAATATTAAATGAGATTCACTATGTCCATCTACCTTGTCACTGGAGTTATTAACTGTTTATAACGCACTGCACTCACCTATTGGCTGGAGATATTCCGACCTGACCACACCACGTCTCTTGATCAAATTACACATACAGAAAAAACCTCCATGTCCTTTCACCAGTCAGTCAGTCAGTCAGATTTAGTCTCTGATTGAAACTGCCACTACCATAGAACAGCAAGTTGCTAGTGTAGTCCATATCACAACCTATTTCTTCTAACAGTCTCGTCTTCTTCTCACTAATCACTCATGTACTCTCCACTGAAACAAACAAACAAACAAACAAACAAACAAACGGACAAAGAGACAAACAAACGAACCAAGAAAGAGACAAACAGACAGTCATGGCAAACTAATTCATAGTTTCCCCTATTCCCTTGCACATATTTCATAGAGGAGAGCTGTGGTAATCGTGTTGTGAACATTCGTGCAGCATCAGGAGACCTCGTGAGACAAGTATGCAATAGAGACACAATCATGTTATCAAATGAATCACGAAAAAGATATTTTCGTTCTTCTCGAGAAATAACTACTCACTTGTGAGAGGAGGATTCTCTCCTCCTTATTCTCCTAATATGGCATATACTTCATGTGCCTCAATTCTATTCTATTTGTATAATCTCCACCCACCCGTTTGAGAAAAGGAAAGAAAACAAGTCATTCTTATATCCAAAAGTGTTGTTCTTGTGGTTCTTCTTCTTGTTGAGATGTTTCGACAGTCAGAAAAAATGCATTCAAGATTTACAAAAGGCATTTGCAAGCAAATCTTATTCATGGCAATAGTTACAGTAATAAGACCATTATTGACAATATCTGCAGTACAAAAAATAGTGTTCAGATCACATCACAACACTTCACACCACATCACATCACACAACTTGACACAACACAACACAACACGACACGACACTAAACCAAACACATCATCATCATCATCATCATTATAATCATCATCATGAGATCATGAATGGGTTAGTCAAGCGGTGATGGTGGTGATCGGACAACTCTGGTCAGTCAGTTATCATCAGTGAGTAGAGGCAAAATCAAATACACAAAAATGTCCGCAAAATCTGCGCAAACTGAGTTCACCCTACTAACACAAAGAAAAATAGAGAAACAAATTAACAAAAAATAAGAACAGAAATGCAACAGAAACTAACTGTTTATAAAATAAATAATGAGTTATTATTATTATTATTATTACTAATATAGCAGTGATAGGGTTAGTCATTTTCAGACAGTGTGATATGAGTTTGATCGCTTTTTGTGTAATTTAAGATTCAACTCGCTTGCCAATAGGATATCCCAGGAAGTCCCTTGTCGCCCTACTGGATCATATTTTCCAGCAATGAAGTAATTGATCGAGGATAAGAATGTATAAGAGAAACAAAACCAACCAATCTCAAAATACTATAGAAAACAATTTTCAGGTAGATTTTGTCAGAAACGTGCATCAATTAAAGGGTCGTTGAAAATGAGAAAACACCGGACACCAAATACAACTTAGTTAGATCACAGGACCGGCCACAATGGATGGACAAACAACAAAGAACTCTGCAGAAGAACCATTCAAGAAGCTATTAACCTGACGGGGCGGATCAGGCGCACTCTGCACACATTTGAGAAAGGCATATGAGCCATCCAGATACGCGGGTTGAACCCATATAAGAGACGACGAGTTATGCGTAGGACCGAGGCTGACATGGAGAAGACCGTGTTGTGAGGAGATGAAGGCTTATGAGCCAGATATTGGGGACCGCAGAAAACAGGATGAAATCGAGATGTGCTGTCAATGACCCATGTTCTCCTCAGAATCCAACACGAATAATAATAATAATAATAATATAATGTGGTTTCTCCAACTGAATCTGCCTGCTTTCTTCTTGATAACCGATTCATGGTTGTTCTCACGTTTCATTTTTTTCTTTATTCCACTTGTAGCTACTACCAGCATCATCAGTTAAGATCACAAGGCTGCAGTAGTTATTAAGTCAGTTAATCAGTTACATAGACACAAGAGTCAGTTTAAGCCACGTAGGAAGGTGTAGACTTCCTGGTTGCGGTCCTCGGGACGGTAGAAACCAATGGCTGAACACATTTGGTGATATGGCTGAAAACTGTTCTCAATGGCTGGCGCAGATGCATCCATTCCTTGTGATTTAGAATTTACAATAAAACTATGTTAGTCTTTGACATTAGTATTCGTTTTGCCCCACATCTCTCATTACTGTCTCTATTTTGCGTTTCTTTTCACTTTATTCTCTGGCTGAGTGAGGTGTGGCGACTCGAACTGCTGCTGTACATCGGTGCAAACTTCTATGTTGAATGCAGTCCCCATAGACATAGACAGAGTAGAAAGTCTACTAGTCACATCAACAACACTCACATTTTCATCTACATGTGAAAAAATATTAACACTAAGTGAACAGAAAAACAGCAGCAGTCTGTGGTGTTACACCTACCTCTTATTAAAATTAGAATGATGATAACATCTTTACTGAAAAGACTATCATCTCGATGCGCACGTAAAGATCAGATCGCGGATAAAGAGTCGTTTCGCTGGAATATCTGATTCCGGAAACCAATCCTTCAGCTTCGAGGCAAAATACTGCCTTGTATAACTTTCGATTGGTTTCTAAAAGAAATGCATCAGTCAGTTAGTTAGTTATTCAAAGTACTAATCAGCAAGTACGAAATTCAATGAATAAATAAATAAATTAATTAATTAAATAACTGGTGGATTTACAACATGTCAGGCAGGCATGACACAATGCCATTTTGAATTGTCTGTCTTCTTGCACATATTTCATCAGTTGGGTGAAGTGGGAATGCTAGCTGGTTGGCTGGCTAGCTGGCTGGCTGTCTAGCTAGAACATGATAATAGTAGGCAGGCAAATTATCCCAATATTTGTACAATAGGTGTATCCATGTATATGAAATGAATGACAATGAAAAATGACAACTATTACCACTACAGACTATCACTGATGCGCGCGTATTCATCATTCATCCAACCATCCACGACGGAATCAATGCGGTTCACGTCATTCATTCATTCATATTTTCAACTATTGGTGTTGTAGGGATTTTCAGACAGTTCTAGTGAGAAGCCATGACCAGCAGGATACAATACAGCAGGTTCAAGGTGAGGCAGTAACTAACTCATCGAAGAAGACATTGCCAAGTGATCGCACTATGTCATCAATTGCAAGAAGTGAGAATTTCTGAGCTAGCCATTGGATCGGATACCAGTGGTTGTTGAATGAATGGTCTACGATCTAGATCGCCTTGTAACCAGAAGCACCTGGGTTCGAGCATTGGCAATGGGGTGGGTGCGTGCGTACCGATGAAGAGTCCAAAACTAGGCTGACGAAACAGCTGTCTGGCAGTACTCCCCCTCCTGTTCGCTTTCCAATGCTCCTCTAACTGATTTCAGCTCCAAACTATCCGTTCGTATCTTAAAATACAAAAATAATCTCCACTTCTTCTAATGCTGCTTTTTAAATCGGAATAAATCGGAATAATTTTATTCAACAGTCTGAATACTAACTATACTATGTAACAAACAAGTATTCTGCACAAAAAGTGATAAAACCATTTATTATATAAGGCAAAGAAGGCACTTGACACTTTCATAAATAACAATTAAACAAAAACCCATTTCAACAACAATAATATCATGATGATAACAGTCAATGACAATAACTGCAATGCACAGAAGCTAATAGCAGCGAAATAATAGTAAGGTAGAATTAGAAAAGAGAAGCAACAATTTACCTGGAAAAACTTTTCCACATAGTGAAGCATAAAAACTCCACAATCCACACCGTTATTTTGAGTAGGCAAAAATGGAGTATGCATAGGGAGAGTATCGCTATTGAAACGGAGGACACCGTCTACTTCTGATCTCCTCGTATCCCATTCCACTTGTAGATAGCTGGAATCAATAAAGGGTGAATAGTTGCATGCATTAGAGGAGCATTGATCAATCAATCAATCAACTGATTCATGATGAAATCTCATCTACCATTCTTCAACGAACATCTCGAGTACACGCCGCCATATCACACTGACTGTAGGTGAAGGAATGCGTACTGCAAACAATTCGTTCCCTACTTACTACTTCTCTATCAATCTGGTAAGACATAACAACCTCTGAAAATGGAAGACTCGAACAGTATAACTCTGCTTGACCATAGGTGTATGGCGCTAACCACTCGTGTCAGGTGGTATAATATCTTCACTAACACCAAGGTTAGCACCCGCGTGGTCAAGGAAGAAATATCAGCAGATAAGGCGAGGTGATTGTGATTTTGCAAACATTTACATAACTAGATGTACTCAGCTCACCGACTCATCCATCGCCTTCCCCTTCATCGACAAGCAATCTTATCTCACATCACATGAAATAGATTACGATGCAAAAGAGTTGAGTCTGTGCAGAAATCATAACATCTTATCAATAAATTAAACCTTCGACTATTTGTCTGTTCAACACATGTCGTACTCAATGTCACAGGTCACTTCACACTATTTTCTATCGATACCCACATCCATCAGACCCCATTATTCCTCAAGTAATTATTATTATTATTTCACCAACGCATTTTGTTCATCGTACTGTAGCTCCTTCGAACTTCATCTCTCCACATTTGTGACTTTATAGAGCAGTAAATGTAGCCCGAATAGCTCAGTGGTAGCGTCACTCATTGCGCCGCTCGGTCACCCGGGCTGGCTATAACCACACAGCGGACATGACTTCCTTCAAGACTTAATATGTAAACTTTGACGACTGAATGATAACTATGAAAAATCACTAAACCTCCTCCCAAAAGCCCTCAACTATCTACCAATAACTAACTAACCAACTAACTTCTCTCACCTACCGTGCTTCCCCATTCCATGGCTTGTCTTCTTTTGTCCACTACCTCTCTTTAAAGTCTTTACAAACAATTCGAGGTGCTTCGTATTTAAGAAGACGTTGTTTCCTGTCAGGTTCATCGGCCTCATCCGTATCACTTACCTTGCATCAGTTTACTTTCCTCTGAGGCTGAGCTGAATTAACCCACATTGAATTTTACTAAACTTTTCACCGGACATAAATTATTAGCTATCTTCACCACTACCAGTCATACAATAGATTCCATGTACTGTCAAGATAATTCCACCTCCGCTCATACCTATACAAGTGCACAGATTAATCACGGTTGAAAATCTCTACGCACTTCCTCCAATGGAAACGATATCTTAGTGAAAGTTGTCCATCCCATTCATTTGTAGGTTTCATGTTGTTGACGGTGTGGCTCAGTCAGACAATCTTTCTTCTTCATTCATTTGAAACTATTTCTACACAGAGCCAAATAGTCAGTCAACAGAACGAGAAAAGGGACAAGATCACACCACCGTCGATTCATTTGCCTGCAACTATACACACACACACACACACTCCCAATACGATTTCCCCATTGGCTCACATTCCCTACACTGCCCACCATTACAGAACAACAATTTTCATCGACACACACCATTCAACGTCTACAGCCCCATTTGTAACCTCGACATACAACAGTTCTTGAAAAGATAAAAAAAGATGAAGGCTAGGCATAGAATAGTAGTTATCATCAGTGAAGTGCTGCTGTACAGCTAAGCCATTAGAAATGTGATTGATCTCAGCCAGTGCAAATGTCTTTGTTGCATGCAACATACAATCACACACAATCATCATATTGAACTAATTGTTGATCATCGTCAGACACCATAATTGATTAATTAATTAAGTCACAAACAAATATGCATGAATAACAAAAAAGAAATATCTTACTTGTAAAGAACACGCGCAATAGGAACTCTAGATACAATAGGAAGCGAGTCAAATATTAGAAGACAAGGCCTGTGTGAAACGAAGTAAGTAGATAAATAGATGAATAAATAAAATGAAGACAAGAAACTCCATGCATGCATGACAATTAATTGTCTCTATCACATAATTAGTTAACTCAGAAGGACACATCATCAAATGATTGATAAGAAACAATAGCGCTTAACAACCTTCTCAAGTAGAGTGTAACCACCCACATCTTACAGGTTAGCTGGCATACGTTCCTTACCTTGATAAATGCCCATATGACAACAGCCACCTACATATAACAGGCACTGGAAACCGGTCACATTATTGAACAACTACCACCACCACAAACGCAACTCAATCAACACTTTGATTCGACTCTAGTTAGTAGACTGTATTATTAGTCTAGCTCTTTGTGATGGTGCAGACTGAATTCTAGGTGGCCCGACGTCACAATGCACTTGAACTATTGATATATTAGACTATTGATGGCAATCGCCAACAAGCCTTCCACCCAGATTTCGTGCTAGTAGCCACTCGTCCATCAGGCTGAATAGCTCAGTAGTAACATATCTGACTGCAGCAAACTCCCAACCCATAACTGCTACTTTGACGTGCTGGTCCGACCTGCATATCGCAATCACACAACAAGTTACATTGGCTGGAAGTAATGTTCCTGCAGCTTCTACCATGCCAGGAAGAATGTTAGCATAGTGATTAGACGCAAAGCAGTTAGCCTCATGGTGTAAGATTTTCTACACTTTGTTGGCGGCCTGTAGACAAAGTCCTGTAGCTGGCGGATAGCAATGTTACAGCAGTATGGTGATTCCCTCAGATGACCAGCAGACCAGCTAGCGAGAGTGACAGAGAGAAAGGGTTAGAAAAGCCCACCACAAAAATTCTACAACCCAATTTACCCTACAGTGGTCCGGAGTCGGCGACATGTGACAAATACTCAGTCAAAACAAAACACCGGTTCACACAGGCCGTGAGTGACCGGCTACAAAAAGTTGTCCCCCTGGGCTCTTTGCTCAAGTAACACCCATTCCTTCTCTTTCAGGTACCCGGAAAAAGAGAAATTCCATGGTTTGTGTAGCCGGGTAGCAGGCTCGATTGGCAAACGCCAACCTACACCATCTCTGGCGTAAACATGATATCCGGCTGGCTGTCGACCAAAGCACGAGGGTATAGCACAGCGGCACCAACAGCACTTCCCTACGTCCTCCTTAATAGATGGCCGTCATACATGGCCATCGAAAGTTGAAGAAATCAAAAGCCAAGCCTGCTGGCTAGCCATCTTTCATCATATGTGTCTGTGTTCTATCTACATCCTGTGTTAGGTGGGAGGTGTAATAAGGTGACTAACATTGAGGTGAAGCATCGGTCGAGTGCTCCGTGAGGAGGGAATACCAATCAACAAGGTTGTGAAGGTAATTCGATTGAGGTGGTCAGGACATGTTGTTACGCATGGCTGTTAAGTCACCTCCCTCCTCGACTGACGGGAAATGTTAGCCACTGACATAGGATGGATCTGGTTAGAAAGGAGCCAGAGCTAGGTCTAGGTGGAGCAACAAGCACAATGTCAAGGCAAGGCTTCCTGACGATTGTCTCCAACCATCTATTACCAACAATTACTTCACTCAACACGCAAATCACCTCAGATAGACAGAATTCTCTTGAATGAATGAATGAATAAATAAATAAATAAATGCATTATCACACATGCACACACACACACCCATTCAATTATTTTCATGTTTTAAAGTAAAAGAAAATCAGAATTTGTCATGACTGTGTTCAACAATAGAACAGATTGATTTGTCACTTCTCTACAAAATGAACAGGTACAGACAACATAAGAAGACAAATCACGTACTTCGGATTGTAACCATTCTTCCGGAGCCAGGCTAAACGTCTTCGTCTCCAACGATTAAATGCTTCACGCTATAAAACAATAAATACAAACAAACCATACACTATACACCACCTAACCAGCCAGCCAGCACACTCATGTTAATCAGTTTACCGAAATAATCAATACTAAATCATTGAAATAGTCATAATTCACATGCATCTCGGAAAATATACATCACTATTATCATTATTATTATTATTCAAGTGTTGGTCTACAGGAATAATCTGATTTCACTGACTACAGGATTTCATTATGAGCTGAAATAGGCTAGAGAACCATTGGGAAACCGCCTGGGAGAAGTGCCAGACAGTTTGGCACTCATCGCCCACTAGGCTTCGAACTCAGGACATTCCGCCTACAAAGCCAGCAAGCTAGTTCACTATTAAGCAACTGACCAGTCCATGAATTCCAACTTTTGCCAATTCACCAACGATATAGCGCTGTTGGCACTATCGAATGTCATCGGTGGCGAGTATTAGTCCTCACACCCCCAACCTACTTTACTAACTCATTGGTCAACACTTACAATTACAACCCACCCACGTAACTGCCAACCTTGAACAGGGCGAGTTGCCAATGAGCTCACCTCGTAACCGAAAGCTCCTGGGTTCGAACACTGAAGAGTCCCCAACTAGGACAAAACAGCTGTCCAGTACTCCCAGCTACTTTTCCAATGCTTCTCTAACCGATGTCAGGTCAAGATGAAGTCCTATAACCAATCAGATCCTAGCAAACAAACACCTAAATGTTAGCTGATAGGTTGGTTGCTTTGTAAAAGCCCTGCTCGAAACATTCATGTAGGCGCACTAACTAAAATCCGTGCAGATACACACCCCTGTCCATTACCATCATCATATACATCACTTTCAATTGGCAAAATTTACTCACGATCAGTGCAGGAGAACTGTCACTGATACAGCAGTACAACTCATCGTTGCAGACCACGGTGTACCCAAGGTCGATACTCACTGACTGACAAATCAAGGTCTTTGTTTTGCGAGCGAACAATTCACTTCCTGTTTGCAACAGCCAGGTGTCAAGAAGATCAGAACAATATCATATCATATCATATCAGCAAACGAATGGTCTGACAGAAAGAAATAACCGTACACTAAAGGAGTCGCTGTCCTCGAAGGGGGTTAACTGTCAGATAGAGCTTCCATCGATTCATTCTACTAGCACATCGTGCGACTTACTACCTAAGAAACAACAAAGGAGTCACCATTTCAATTGATGTATGCGAGGCGTACATAATTTTCCTATAAAGAGAAAATCAAATTGCAAACAAACATTCCGTTACCTAAGTCTGTTGTCTCCTACCGTTACAAAACAACATCAGCACTTCATATACTACTTATATTATTCATAATAGTAATAACAATATTAATAATAATGAAAATTTTACTACAATATTTACTTGAACATCTATAGGAATTCTGTGCACCGATTCTTCATAAATAGTGGATAAATCTAAACTTTGAGGAAATTTAATATATTCGACGTCAGAAAATTCTTCCATCAATGGGCACTGGCCAACAACTTCATCCGCATGCACATCCTTGGGCATTCCCACCATCCAAGGATAGCAAACAATACCAACAATCCAGTGAATTCTATAAAAGTTCCAATAGACGTAACCAGGGAAAGTCACGTACACATACACAAACAAGGAGAGAGAGAGAGAATTATATGATACACACACACACACACACAGATTAATATGATACAATGTGAAAGACAAAAAAGCATTAAATCAGGATCATGGAGGAAGGAATAAGTCGACTGTGCCACTAACTACCCACTAAGTGAAAATTATCAATAGAACCAATACAATTCAACATTTCGACAGATGGTGCAGTAAATCAGATTCACTCCTGCTGTCACCACGGTGGTTCTACTTCTGACTTGTAGCTTCTGAACTGCTTCTTACAGGCGATAGCATAATCCCCAGCCTCTCCCTACACATTGATAGCCGCAAAATGTTGCCACGTGCATCTAGGAAACATTTCTTTGTGAAATTGGTCGACCACAACGTCACATATTCCAATTCCATTCAATACAATCACATATATTGGTGGAGTATAATAATCAATAAAGCTTAAGCACTACCACAACGAGACACACAATCCACACCGCTATAATCATAGTGAAACTGCAGTCAGACTACCAGCCATCTTCATAGCAGTCGATAACACATCCAAGTGTAACCCTAATTATACTCAACAAATAACCACTCAGTGGAACGTGAAGACTACCATATACATATCACGCTTATTCATCATTTCGGTCTTCAATCAACCCCGCTCTCATCTAATCAATATCTCATATCTCAATTCCTGATTGTTTAGGTTGTTGGTGGAATGTTTCAAAGTGCTCATTTTTCGAAAAATCTGTCTGAGCAAAGTATGGAAATTGGCGAAGTTACCGCATCATAGCCTAGAAGTCAGGGTAGGGCAAAAGTTGACCTTCAAAACCTGATCAGACTTAAGAAATGCTATTGAAAAAATCATTCCAAGTAGACTCATGCCTAACTTTTTTGATTAGCTGACGGTAGATACTTATTTTTCAAAAGTTGCTTTGTAAGGATTAGATTTGTTTTTACGAGTTGATCACAGATTGATACCAGTTTCAATGGGGTTCTCTAACTGATATTCTCCCAACACATTCCCTAGGTAGTTTCTCGGTATACTATTAGATAGAGATATGGATTTTAAGATTAAGGATAGGGTCTAGGATTACAGTTAGAATTGGGGGATTTGGATTACGGTCAGAGCCACGGGTAGGTTGAGCGACAGTGTCAGAAATATCAATGGATCGCAGAGCACTATGATTAACAGTCACCTACCGGGATGTAGTCATTGGAACACATTCTCACACGATAAGTATACCCTGTAATATTTTGCTTACAATGTTTTCTAATGCATTTTTTAACAGTTCATGCGACTTCATGAATCAGAAATCTGTCTGATTGCTTGTTCAAGGTCACGGTGGCTTTCGCTATGATAGTTTAATTTAGCCTGGAAGTTTCGTCGTCTTAAATACTTGTCCCGTTGTCGGTGGGCCTTCACCCAACTGACTGACTGACTGAGTGACTGACAGTGTATGCTACTGGTAACATCATTTTATTCCACCTGTAACTGCTACCAACATCATTAGTTATTTATTATCATATGGCTACAGTAAGTATGGCTACTAAGTAAGTTATTCAGTTAGATACACATTCAGAGTAGAAAGTCTACAGGTCACCGCAACGACACTCACAGTTTTCCTAAAGTATAAATAATATTCAAAAAACAATTTAACTATAGACGACTACCCCTATGTTGTTTATCTTGTATTCAATAATACTGGTCTGAATTATACTTACTTCTCATTAATTGGAATAATGATAAAATCCTTACTGAAAACGTCATCTCGACGTGTCCACCGAGCGACACCAGCGTGTCGAGCACGAATTACTCTGACGAAAGAGAAAGAGAAAAAAAAATTTTATTATGAAAAACAGTCTGAATCGGAAACGTACACAACACAATATTATAATTCATATATAAGGTGTAGAGCACATGTCGAAAACCACTAGCGTCAATACGTATTTCAACCCACTTTAAATATGTCATGTGAGATGGGGGGGGGTGCGTATGCGTGTGAAAGTGGGTGGGTGCGTGGGTGGGTATACGTGCAACATCCAAACACCACATACCATTCATTCTCATGACACTTATCAATGAGAACTTATTCGTATGCATTGCATGATAATACAATCATATGATTCCTGTGAATACAACCATGGCAGCTGACATGCTTAGGTGTTCCATGTTTCACTTAGGTATTCACAAGATGAACATGCAAATACTACTACAAATTAACAGTCGAGTAACTGTTCTACAACTCAACCAGCAGTTCCCACGCCAGTATTGAGGTAGACAGCGGTTACCAGAAGGTGGGAACAATATCAACAATCTCTTCAAAGTTAAACCACGACGACTGCTTTCAATATAGAACTTTGCACAGATGTGCAGCAGCAGTTCCAGTTGCCACTCCCTCTCCCTCCCTTCATAGGACTCACGAACCTAGAGAAGAGAGTAAAGAGACATTCAAAGGAGAGATACACAGAGGGAAAGCGACAGAGAGAGAGAGAGACAATAAAATCAAGTGTGAGGGGAGAAGAATAATAGTTATATGGAAGAACAATAGAGTTTCATTCGACATGACGAACCATGAGGAGTGAATGCATTATCTGTGCGATCATTGTCAACTAGGACTTTGTGCTATCTATATCAAAGATAGTCTCCAGGCTTCATTGGTTTTTACCATCCTTAGGACCCTAACCAGTCAGTCAGTAAGTATACACCTCGCTGATTTGCCCGCTAAAGCCATGTTTTGCTGTGACCACCTAGACCTAGCTCTGGCTCCTTTCTAACCAGATCCATCCTATGTCAGTGGCTAACATTTCCCGTCAGTCGAGGAGGGAGGTGACTTAACAGCCATGCGTAACAACATGTCCTGACCACCTCAATCGAATTACCTTCACAACCTTGTTGATTGGTATTCCCTCCTCACGGAGCACTCGACCGATGCTTCACCTCAATGTTAGTCACCTTATTACACCTCCCACCTAACACAGGATGTAGATAGAACACAGACACATATGATCAAAGATAGCTAGCTAGCTGGCTTTCCTTCTCATGGCTTCCACTCTCAATGGCAATGTCTGATGGCCATTCATAATGGAGGACGTAGGGAAGTGCTGTTGGTGACGCTGTGCTATACCCACGTGCTTTGATCGACAGCCAGCCGAATATCACGTCTACACCGGAGATTGCGGAAAACAAAAATTATTTCCCGTCTTCTGCATAAATGGTTATTCAGAAAGGACTCAGAAACCCCTACAATACAATGATTGATACACAGACACACTGAAGTTTAGACGACTATGACAAGAACGAAAATCAACCAAACAAGGAATTCAAAGCATATCAAACATTCCCACCGCTCTCTATATCACCATCTTCTCCAGAAGAAATTTATTGCGCCTATATTAATAAGAAATTTATCAAATTCCCTTCCCCATTAACAAAGTAAATACTACTGTAAAACATGTTGTCCTGACTTACCGACGAAATTCCCGAAATCTATGACAACAGAAATGTTATTCATTATTAACTAATTTATCAATATTCTCGGTATTTCTACTCTGTTATTTCAAGTACACCTTGCTTATGACCATTTCACACTACACAATACTTGATGCATCATCATAGATGGACAGATGAACACAGACTAACCGACAAAGTATTTTCCAGTGGTTTCGATATCGAGATAGAATAAAAGAGGGAGGAGGAGGTATCAGGACGGACAAGCTTTTCAGTTAGCTGCAAAGTCATTATTTATGCATGTACCAGTGACATAATGTTTATGTTTATGACTTCAATTTCTGACGGTTTGTGAATGTCATATACAGTATATTTTGACTAATAAAGGTTGTTCCCCTTGTTGTTATGGTTGTTGTTGCTCTTGTTCCCGTCGTCGTCGTCGTCGTCGTCGTTTTCCCCAGTCTCACTGTTCTGCCCATCTCAGTGTGGTATCAATCAGTTGACGGTTATATTTACGTGTTCTCTCTCTCTCTCTCTCCTGAAGGTGAATTCTAGTCAAGTTTCATATGACTAACTCAGTATTATCATTACTCCGTCATAAAATGAATAATCCAATAGAAAAATAAAAATCCCATATACCTGTTACAATGATGGGAAGAAAAGTAAAGCAGTTTTCATACTCACATTATTCATCAATTCACATCAGTCACAATCAGTGAGTGATAAGTGCTTCTCACAAACACACACATCTTCATTGAAATCCAGGATCATTACTCCTCTCCTCTCCTCCCCTCAAATTTAAATCCTGCGTTTGACTATTATTTATACAAGTCTTACTGTTAGGCAGCACTTACTATGCTTGTTAGTCGTAAAGTCATCCATCATTGATGCAAACATCAATCAGATATTGATTGAGCAAAGAATATTCTTTGAGATAATGTCCTACAGCCAGTTACATAGGCCGTGCAATTAGGCCTGTTTATTGTAGGATTTCCGATCACCACATCCTGCATAGTGTGGTAAAGTAAGAGACAAACGAAATACATTCATAAACTCTATTCTACCTCATCACCTCATGGATATAGAACACAAGATTGATGTCATCTACCGTATACCAACTGATCTTATTAACTTTACATTGAGAGTTCGTCTGTCTATTATATGCTGCTGGAGGTCTTGGAATCCACATTGAGAAGACTATCGTATGTATCCAGAAGAAACTGATTCACACACTTTCACACACATACCAGTGCTGGCCGTCAATCAAGGTTATAATCATCCTTAATTTATTGTAGGAATTTCCTTAATTTTATGTGATATTCTATTTACTATTACATTTATATATGCATATTTGTATATGAATATTTTCACTATACAGATATTGATTATTTATCGGTGGTTCAAATTTCCGTTGATGGGTAATACTTTTTTCGTGATACTGATTTTATTGAAACCATCCGAATTCTCAGTAAGATTTCTGAACAATAAGCATCAGTAGTCAATGTCTGCTACAAATGTTTAATTCTCACCAAGGAACAATGTGGTGACCTTCTTACTCTGGAAAACATTCCACACTGTTTTAGGCGGGAGATATCATAAAGTCTATTCAAAAGGCGAGGTGTTAGGACGGACCAAGTAAGTTTCTTAGCCGTAAAATCATGATTGATGTAATCATCAATCCCAATTTCGAGTATTTATCTACCTATCCACTACATTTTATATTGATGTGTTAAGGATAATTTAAGCTTTTGTTGGAAATAATAAAGGTTACTGTTGTTTACTCAGATAAATCTGACTTCTGTGTGTATGCCTACTCAGTGTATGGGAATATATCCAAGTGATCAGCAGTTAACTACACTGTCGAAAATGCAGGCGCATTTTAGTCAAGTTAGACAACAACAAATCACTAACACTGCATAACTACTACAGTTACCCTTCTATGTGGTGGTGATGATGATGATGATGATAATGACGATGATGAAAAGGCAACTAAAGCAAAGACTTACTTCGTTAACAGCAATCCAGTTAAAAGAGTTTATCAAAGGTGAAAGAATATTCTTTGTGAATAAAGGTGAAATCAACATGTCAGAGTACTCACAGTTCACTGATACGTATGTATATCTATTTATGTATATGCAACCGCAGTTCTTACACACATTGACATCACATTGCATTAACAGTTGTCACTTCGCACTGTTACACTCATTTATACAATGCGAAAGCTTCTCGAACAACTGACCTTACACACTGCAAATAATTCATCTTGAAATTGTCTCTCCCTGTCTCTGTTTGAGACGCGTGCAAAGGCATCAGAATTAGCCTCTCAGGGCTAAACCTTTATGGTAATCACATCCAGGAGAGTAGTTGATGAATATGCGTTGAAAGCCTGATTAACAAGAAACGACTATACACATTATATATTTCATCATAATTATGAATTTGGATTCAGAACAATAACAAACATACACTGATATAAATATCAATACGGATTGGTTACCTTCAAATCTGTAGGGAATAATTCTACTACTGGTAATCCGATCACCGTACCTGAACAACTCTACCCCAACCTTAAGCATGTTTTTAACAGCCTACGATACATCATAAAACATTTATCATGAACAATCGAACTAAATATTTCCGAATAGAGAAAAATTCAAAGTCACACCGTCTTCTAATCTGTGATGGAGCAAGTCTCTCTCTAGTCGTCATTCTTATTGAAGAAAACCAATGGAGATTATTAGTGGTAATTGCTTCCTCGATGAGAAGAAGCACACCTTTCATATTACATACTTTTGTCCCGATGTGATGTGATATTCAACATTTGAGAATGAGATGTCAAACTCTTATTAACTCATCAAAATACTTCTCAACTATCCTCCTCCTATCCTGTCCTACTTGCAGGATATACCCACTACAATAAATATTAGAACTATAAGAAAACAAAACAACATGGGATCCTAGAGATTATCACTCCCTCTCTCTCTCTCTCCCTACTGTCTGTTGCACTCTATGATCATTGCAAAATGAATGATGAAAGGATTTCAAATTGAAGTATGTGCTGAAGATGTCGCCTGCCTGGTAGGACGATGACAGCTTCGCAAATTAACTATCCAGCTCAGAGAACACAACCGCATCAAAATCATCCACCTGAGCTACAAATCTTCTCCATCATATCTGAAAGGATTTGTTCATGTGTAAGTGTCATACGTACAAAAAGCTTCAGCAGATCGGTTGATGGACATGTACATCACGTTGTGGAATTTGCTTGAGACGAATTAATGTGAGGGAAGGTAAGCTGATGGATTATACTATTTCGTAGGGACATTTTTTGCCATGACACCATCTGTCATTAACCCAGATTTTGTAT